CGGACCAGCCTATTATAACCAGCCTCCCCCAGCCCACCGCCACACACACTCCCCTCTACTCAGCTGGGCCTCCTCCCAGAGCACCAGTCATCTGCCATGTCTACCATTTACCATCAGATGGGGTAAGGCTGTTTCGGTCCCCCCCACCCCGTCCCGGTGTGTCCTAAGCATGGGGAACAGTGCCTGGAACCTCCTCGCCGCACTGCAGAGCGAAGGCAACCACAACCAGAACACATACTGAGAGTAGCTGAAGCACACGTGACAAGAGGAACCTGGGAGACCTCCCGTGAGGCCTGCAGACACAGAGGACGAGAGAGGGTGGCATGGCCATCATCAGACTGATTAATAAACTCACACCTTGTCTGAAGAACAGTGGCATCTGCCAGCCCTCTCCTCCCCAGCCTTAGCTCAATGGATGGGATGGTACTTCCCACTGAAGACTGTTTTCGAAACAAACTCAACACGCTGCCTCGGGTGAGTCAGGGCTTCTGGTGGAACTAGGGGTAGCTCAGCATTTGTGGGTTCCCCACCCTTGTACCCTAAAGGAGAGCCCGCCAGTCTACATGCTCCACCCACTTCCACAGACCTCCGGGCGGCCCTCCTGGTCAGGGAGGAACGTGCCCAGCAGAGACCTTGCCTCCACGATGCAAGAGGAAAGCCAAGCCAAGGACTGACACCAATCAATCTCATCTGTTTAGAAATAAATGGACCACTAAAGATGACCAGATATTTGAATAAAACCAGTAAAACAAACAATTCAACTCTATAGGAAGGAGATGATTCAGGCAAAGGAAGAGAAATAGAGAGGCTTAAGATAGAATCATGAATTTGGAACAGGCTGTTAAAAAGGGAATAATTACAAAATAGAAAAAACTCTTGGAGATTAAGATTCATCTTCCAATAGACAATCTACTACTGCGTTGTCCCCGCTGGGTGGCCGTGAGCCGTGCATGTGGCTCCTGAGCATTTGCAATGTGGCCTGTCTGGACAGAAATGTGCAGTAAGTGTAAAACACATACCAAACTGTGAAGACTTGGTATGAAAAACAGAATGGAAAACACCTTAGCAATTTTTATACATATTTCATGTTGACATGATAATACTTTAGATAGACTGGGTTAAATAGAATATATCATTAAAATTAATTTCACCTGTTTCTTTTTTACTTTTGCTAATATGGTCACTAGAAAAATTTTAATTACATATATGGCCCATATTGTATTTCTACTAGAAAGTGCTGGTCTAGAATATATCGTTAAAAATATCGCCAAGAATACAGAACAAAAGAAGCAGCAAAAAATGAGAAAAGAGAAGTATCATGAGGAAATAATCCAGAAGGGCCAGCATTTGACTAGTAGGAGTTCCCAAAAAAGAGAACAGAGAAAAGAGAGAGAAGAAATGTTTAAATGGCTGTTAAGTCTTCAAATGGAAAAGGTCCATTAAGTACTGAGCTAAAGAAAAAAAATGCGGGAAAAAGAAACCACAAAAACCAAAAACTTTAGCTAGTGACCTATTCCTGAAAACCCAGATTACTGTGGTTGACAGGTTTAAAGGATTCCAGAAGGGGTGGGGGAACGATCACCTGCAACATAAGGACAGAGCTAACAAGAGATGTAGAAAGCCGGCCAATATCTAAACCGTGAAGCGAGAAAACCTGCGGATGGGATGGAAGCGCAGGGACGGGATGTCACAGAGCGAGGAGCACAGAGACTGCTCAAGGGAAGACGCAGGTTCAATCTGAGAGAGAAACCAGCAGCAGGGCTGAAACAACAGCTGTTGGAAGCCGGCCGGGGAGGTGGACAAATCATACTTCCTAGTGCGGGCGGGGATCAGCAGCCCCCGGCCATCATGTGACCATCAAGAACCAGGAACAGAATCATATTATCTTCATGCTATGGAAGAAGCCATCAGAAGTACTAAACGTAGAAATGGTTAGGCGTGACTCATTTGGGGATTAATAAGAAGGGAAGGGCACAGCTGCGTGGCAGGTGACCCTCCCCAACTTATGCTCTCTAGTGCCATATGCGGGTCTACCACGTGCAAATGACTTTACGAACTGATCTGACAGTAATAAAGTGGGAATAGCTGAAAGGGGTCTGGGTTAAAGACTGGAAAACCAACTAGAAAACACTAGCGGTACAGAAGAGAACATATACTGGAGAAGCTATCAGTCACGAGAGTGTCAGAAGAGTAGATCCAACAAGCTGTTAGAGAAAGAAGTCACAGGGTACACTGGGACAGGGAGGGTGGATGAAGAGCATTACAGACCTCCCGCACAGAAAGTATGGGAGAAATACTAGAGAGAAGAAAGCATATGCACATGAAGAATGACATCATAAAGGCTGACACTGCGGTATTAGTGGGACACCCGAATGCGTGAGCTCCACGACAGGAATTCTCACTGCGGATCAACTGTTGGAACTGAGAGGGCCCGTGACCCTCAGAAATGACACACATAAATGCACATCTACCTGCATATCAGAAGGGTGGGGGCTGGGGGAAAGAGGGCACGTGTCCACTGCTGTCACCCAATTCTCGAAAGGACCCACGACACTGCTCCATTTCGTGGGAAATATCTCACTGATCTCAGGCGCAGAGTCACAGCTGTCCATGTGGAAGCCACCAGCAAAAGACAGGTAAGAGGAAGCTACCACATGCAACCCAATCACCAGTCCGTCAAGGCAGACCGTGTACAGAGGGAGGAAAAGGACAGCTCATGAGCACGCTCACGCAAGAAGCCGACGGGGCTCAGGGAACAGGGCTGGCAAGGAAGAGCCTCTGCATGACCGAAAGGAAGAAAAGCAAAGAGGCAGATGTGCACGAGGAGAAGAAATCTCAACTAGAAACAAGTCAATGCTGGAAGCAGCACTTCCAGGAGATCTGAGCAGACACAAAACAGATTTCACCAGATAAAAAGGGAAATGGGTGGAAGAGAGAGAGGGGAAGGGACAGAGATAAAAATTAACACTGAGAGACAAAGACAGTGGTCTCTGATAGGTTTCCCTAAAACAAAGAAGAGGGGCGCCTGGCTGGCTCAGTCTGTGCAGCGGGTGACTCTTGATCTTGGAGTCGTGAGCTCGAGCCCCACACTGGGTATAGAGATGACCTAAAAATAAAAAATCTTTTAAAAATTTTTAAAAATGAAAGACTCTGTGTGTGGCCATGGACAGAAAATAATTTCAAAGTTTACACCCACTTTTCAGAATTTTGGATTTCACTCTTTAAAACAACTGAGTTCAAGTCTTGAACTAAGTAAGTAATATAAACAACATCGAAGTTCCAAGCCCTGTGGTACCTTCCTACATACAAGCAGATAAGCCTGAAGTCCAGGGGGGGCTGCAGGGCCAGCCAGCACGGCGACAAGACCAAATCAGATAGTGGGCACAGCATTTTCACAACATTTAGTAAAAATTCACTCAATACTCATTTCCACTAAAACTGCAAGTTGCAAGTTGCGCACAACCTCTGCGCAGTGGATCACCCATCAGAGACCCTTAAGCCAGCGGCTCCCTCCGCTGGCTCCAATTTCTATTCCGTATTGTCCTCAGCAAGCAACTGTCCCAGGGGCCACCTGCTTGCCGTGCCATGATGCCAGAAATTATCTGTTATGTTTGGGTTCTCTCCTGGTTCTTCCTAGCTTTCTACAAATGTGATTCCCAATAATACCATGCTCATTTTTTTTAAAGATTTATCCATTCATTTGAGAGAGGGAAAAAGAGAGAATGTGAGTGGAGGGAGGGGCAGAGGCAAAGTAGACTCCCCAAGCGCAGAGCTTGACCTGGGGCTTGATCTCACGACTCCAGAGATCATGACCTGGGCTGAAACCAAGACTCAGATGCTCAATGGATTGAGCCAACCAGGTGCCCCATGATCATTTTTTATTAATTACTTTTCCGTGTGTGTGTGGGGGGGGGGGCAACAGAATCATTACAATTTCTAACTCTTGGAATTGTTCTGGTGTGTTTAAAACACTCAATATAGAATCGAAATTCTATCTTTTCAACTTTCCTTATTTCTACAAAAACTTAATTTTATTTGTATCTGTTATAGCATCACTCCAAAGAGTTGGATAGATTTTCATCAAATTTGGGGGCTATTTCTGGAGCGACTGAACTGAATATAAAAGGCTGTGACAAAATCAAAATTCATTTCGGGAGGGCCTTTCCCAAGAGCTAAGCAGTTACACCCCAAAGCAGCCAACAGAGAACATAGTAGAGCTCCTTCTGTCTGTCTGTCTGTCAGGGGAACATGACACACATATCAAAACAACATGGAGAATCTGAAGAGTGTTTCAAATGTGAGATCCAAATCCAAGGTCACAAGAAGAAATGCTGGCTTGCCATGGAGCAAATGCTTGTCAAATGGAAGAATCCATCTATGTGGTGGTTATCAGCTCTCTAAAATAAGACAGGTGACCTACTAGTGGTAAAAAGCAACATCAACATCTCCAAAAAGTTTTCATTTGTTTAAAATGGGACAACTGGTTTAACTAACTCAATTTTCGTTACTGTACGTACCTGAATTTTATATAACTATTTTGTTATGAATTTGGTAGCTTATACTTCAGAGACTCCACTAATTCAGAAACAACTATACATAAATGAGGCTGTATTCGAATTTCCAATGTATTTCTTTATAAACTGCACTGAAGCAACGAGATAGTATTATTGACCGCACTGAACCAGCAATTTAATCATAAACAGAATGAGTTTGTATTCCATTACTAAGCACTACGGTAATATCTCAAGATCAATGACTTCTATGAACAGCCAACACGCCTTCAACTTTCTAGTTAAATTAGTTATGTGAAAGCCATAATGACCATAGATCAATTTATAACTGCTATAAAAATAAGACTCCTTGAAGTGAAAGTCACTTTGTATGCTGCTAAGTGACTTTTAAACGGCTAACAGGACATAATCCACTTTTGATATTAGGATGCTCACACGCCTTCTGCAGTAGAAAGACAAACTGCAAATAACAACTTATAAAAAATTTACCTTCTCTGAATTTCCAATTCTTCTTGTGATGGGCCATTTTGAACTTGGGCAGGTAGCTGAGAATTTTGTCTAGGCAATGTTGGCCCTAAAAGGGAGGAAAACATTATAGATGAACATTATCTTTATAGTTAGCTGGACAGAGGAGATAAAATCATGAGAAGAATAACATAAAACCATCACATATTTACAAATGTATCTTCTTTGTCATTTAGCAAAATAAAATATAAGCTTTACGATAACACACAGCAAATGAAAGACTGCAACATAATACTGTCATTACCTCCGAAAGGCTTACTTGAAACAAATGGAAAACATCAACAATAAAGGAAAAATAAACATTTATATATGAAGAGCTTGAGGAAAACAAGTGTTCAATGAGCATCTGAATAGGCACCTGAGCTGGACGTTTCTAAGACAATGAGACATTCTCTTTGGGGTACTTATTCATGAAGTGGAGAGGGAGAACTTAAATGAAAAAAATCGGAATTCAAAAACTCACCTAAATAGAACACTGGAAATGAAAAACAGGAGAGAGAGAGAGCATGAGAACCTTATTACTAGGATGAAGAATGCTAATGCATTTATCAAATTTGCCCAATTTAAGCTGCCATTTTTATTTAATGGCTTGGCATTTCCAGCACTAGTGAAAACAAACATTTACTAAACTTCTATATATAATTAACCTACTTATCTGAATTTTTAATGTAACAGAGGTAATCCTAATAACTTTTCATTTGGGGTTAAAACAAAAACAAAAACAAAAACAAAAAAAAAACCACCCAAAAACCAAAAACCTACATCCAAACCAACATGGCTCTGTCACAAGAAACTAAAGACCATCCATTCCCACATACCATGTGCAATGCAGACCCATTTTTACCATCTTATAACAAATGCCACTAGATATGCGACATTTTAATGTCACTGGATATAAAAAATTAAATGTGTCATGAGAGAAATAAATACTGGACCTAATATGCAAAGCCTAGGGTTAAAACAGAACAATCTTGAAATCTAAGCCAGTAAACAAGAGAATCCAGTAAACAAGTAAATCTAGTGTGCCAGCAAATGCCCCTAACAGGTATCTTCAAAGTGTTTTGTAGGCTGCTAGTACTAGAAACAGGTAAGAGAGAAATGCTTCTGTGTACTAATTCAAATTCTTGGTAAGTCTGTGCCATGCTAGGGAAGTAAACCTTGCAGCTACAAGGATAAGGTTCCTGGCAATGTTGGTATGGTACTGGCATATCCCAAATTTGGAAAAACAGGTAAGTGGATCTAAACTTACCTACTGAATTTTTTTTCTCATCTCTTTACCCATTTCTAGATTAATCATGTAATTTGTCCTCTAAAAGACAAGTTACATGACAATTACAGTGATGTATTTCATGAGATTACCTAAGTCTGCTATTCTGAAAACCACATAAAGGAAATATTAAAATATATTAATCCTATGTCATCAGCAACAACAAAAAATCAAAAAGCTTTTTAAATTAATGTTAAACACGCACTTAAATTTTTGAATAAATGAAAAGTAGAACTTGTCTAGTAAACAGGCCGGAATTCTTTCCTTCTTTTGGAAATGAACATACTGATGTACAAACTGACTGTCATATTAAGCCATATACTAATGTCTAATACTCTTAGTAGGAAAAGATGTCTTTGTCTCTTCCGGCAGAAGGAGGGACAAACAGAAGATTGGGGGTGGAGAGTAAACTTGAGAAAATACAAACAATTTGGGGGAAGTATTTTTATGTCCAAAGTTACATTTATCCAAAAATATTAAATGTGAGCATTTAGCCTGGGCAACTCATGAGACCATTCTGGCTTAATTATTTTTTAAAATAATGTTTATTTAAGTGAAAAGCTCATACTGCTCGAATAATTAAACAGCTGGATGCCACAGGGTTGGAGAGACTTGTCCAGCACCCATCCCAAAAAAGGACCCTAACATACTGCTTACATCTAGCACAAACATTTGTGACCTCTACAGTGATACTGACAGATGAAATTCCCCAATATAAATCTAATGTTTTAACTCAAATAAAGGGTGTCAAAAAAAGTTCAAAAAAAGGGTGTCAAAATTTCAACTCAATCCTGATTTTATTAAACAGATTTAAAAAAAACTAACAGAAGTTTGACTTAAAAAAAGTTTGAATGAGAAGAAATTATCTTTTTTAAAAACAATTTACAGAAATTTTGGATTTTTTAACAAACTTGTTTTAAAAGGTTTTAAAAATGTGGGAAGTACTGTCTGGGTGATATCATTAAAAAATTAATCTACCACAGTTTATTCATGCAGCTAAAAGAGGAAAACTTAAGGAAGATCCTTTTAAAATGAGGGGAATTCTGGTCCCAGAAAAGCTCTTACGAGTGTTTCCTACATGGTTCTTTGTGGTGCCGGGCAGCTTGTCTTTCCACAGACACCCCCTCTGTGGTGGGCCGCAGAGGAGGGGCCTTCCCCTGGGGTCTGTATTTAGTGTACCTGTATTTAGTCTGGCTGTCTTGTCTGTTTCTCCTCCATCAGGACCGTAAGTCACGATAGTGAGCACACCGAAATTCATGTGCATTTCAAAATAATGTAAATACACCATAAGCACTGAATAGAAGAGTTCGGGGTCACTTAAGAACTCCCAGGACACAGTTTCAGGTTTCCTTCTGGTCACTCTGCGGGGTCACATTCAAAGGGTCGATACACCAACATGAGGCTCACGACATGAAGCAGCAACTAAGAGCAGTCAAGCCTGCCTGCAGCTGTTGTTGTTTTCTGCACTGTAACTATTACCTCGTATCGGTCATATTCCTAAAAGAGTATCTGTGTTCTCACAGAATCCAAAAAAAGGCACTTTCATATCCGGTGGGCAAATGACAGTATTGCTACGAGCATCATGTGGTAGCTGACAGTTCTCTTTGGGGAAAAAGGAAACACGCGAGCCTGCCTGGTCCCTACTGTGGTGTCATGAAGACAGTAGACAACTTTGAGGGTTACTTTCTCTGTCTTATTACCAGAGCTGGAGACAAGGACTGATATTAATCTGTCCTGGCTAGAATTCATATAGCAGAGACGTAACTTAGTTTCTAATAAAGAAAATGTGTCCATGTCACTGATAGGTTCTCTATAAATGATGGAAAGCAGAAGAGAGTGTCTCTCGAATCCAGGAATGAATGGCATTTCAGTCTTGACTTAATACTGAGTTTTGGCTAAAGCACATTGCACCTGCTGTCACATTTTAATTTTCACAAATCTGGTTTCACACTTAGCCACAGACTGCTTAAAAACACAGGACTAAAAGACCAGGAGGTGTTATTATACACAATACAATCAAGTGTAAACTTAGCAATGTGGTAATTATATCACTGTACACAGTTAAATCAATTAAAGATAATAATGGGAAAAATCTGCTTTTTAACACATTATTTTACAACTTAAAAATTCACCTTTATTAAGGGCAAATCAATCCTCTCTGCAACTGGGTAAACTGTATCTATTATTCTGCATGTGGAACTCAACACAGTAAGTAGCAAAGTACAGAACATCAAGTAGGTTTTCAGAATGAACTAAAAAAAGTCCTAGTAACACCAATACGAATAAACTCATGGCTCGTTCAAAAGGTGGCCTAGAAGAGCCCCCAGGAGGAGGCCAAGAAGCATCACTAAGAGTCACTGATTAAACCCTAGGGAGCAGGGAGTTATGAAGACCAGCAGCATAGGCTCACTGATGGGACCGTGTCACCCGGAGCAAGCCGAAAATGGAACTTTAGGTGATTAAGAAATACATCAGAGTTTTCATTTTTGGAAATTTATAACACATGCTTCTTTGCCTAAACCAGCAGTACATAAATTTTTAAATAATTCTAAAGAGAATTAGGTAAAGAAACAGTATCAGAAATACTGAAGAATCACATCAAAAACTGAGTCACATGGATAAAGTACATATACACAGCTAAACTGTTTATATAAAATTTTAGCAGTATTATCACTTTATAATTTTCTCTCTCATAGAATAATCGGGCCAGTCAAGGTAAACAGGAGTAAGAAATATATACATATATATATATATATATATACACACACACACATATATATATATGTCAAAAAAAAGTTCTAACAATTACAAGTCATTTTTTGAACTTGGTTTTTCAAAACAGAAGGTTTTAGAATCAAGGATAAAAACAATTCAGAGGAAGGTGTGCGTGTGTTGTGTGTGCACGTGTGTGTGTGTGCGCGTGCACACAGCTCTATCCCTATGTAAGGGCAACGAGCATGCACCTGTCTGACTGAGTGTGACTCAGGGCAGCTAAGGGACGTCTGCGGCTCATGCATGCAAACAACACATCCGTGTGCGCGCGTGTGCACAGCAGTGCAAGAGCGCTCTGTAAGCCCAAGCTCACTCCTCACCTACTGCAGAAAGAAGGCGGTCACTGAGAAGCCAAGCCGGGGAAGCAGCAATGGCTGCCATACGCCTCACGACACGTGCGCCTAACAACTTCACTCAAGTGGAGCAAAAGCTCTCTTCAGATAAGACACATTCACATTCCTCAAAACATACTAAGGTAGATATAATTCTGTCCCTTAAATTATAAATTAAAAGACTGTTTCAAACAAAATAGTTGAAAACAAAAACGAACAAACAAAAATCCTTCTCGTTCATGTTGCAAGAACTGCAGAAGAATTCATTCTAAGACCCTCATCCTAACTACACCCTCACTAAGAAGTCAACTCAAAAGCTGACCGAATCACCTACATGAACCACAACAGATAGCACAACATAAAACGTAGCTTGCTGGATACCCCTAATACCACAAGCCAGACTATGGCCTACAGAAACAAAAGTTATGGAAATGTGCAAGTAGTATGTACCACAGCTTGAAAAAGTAATGTAAACATAATGTTGCTTACCACAGAAAATACATCGCAAATTAGTGCTGTCCTGGGTAGCAGCAACCTTGCTCTGGGCTGCAACAGACACCTTGGTGTTAGAAGAAGAACTTCACACAAACTAAAAGGTGCTTTGAAAGGTTCAAAATGTTTTTATACATACGTCCTATCTCGATCCTCATTTTGTAAGCTCTGTTATTTAATAAAAAT